GGGGCACGGGGGCCTGCCGGATCAGAGCGACTCTGCTTTAGTTTGCAATCTTTCCCGTTTCGTTGCGTTCCTGGTGTAACGAGGGTTTGAGCCTCAGTTTCCCCGACTACCTTGTGGTTAGGGTTAATGGTCAGGGAAGCGGTGAATTGTGTCGGGAGCGGAGCTGGACGATCTGGGCCGCTCCTGGCCCCTGGCAGGGGGTGAGATGAGGCTGAAGAGGGAGATGCACCTCAAGCTCTGTGGCCTGGGGCAGGGCGGGCGGCTCCCCCGTCCAGCCCAGGCTGCCGGGTCGGGCTGGCGGCCGTGGGGCACCTTTCGCGGGTTGGTTTCCGGAGGGGAGTTCCTCGCAAGTAGCAGGGTCATGTGACTAATGAGCATTGTGCTGCAATTTTTCTATTTTATTGTTGTAAATACTTCTTCCTGCCCATACAGGCTGCCTGCAGCTTTGCCCCGAGGCAGGGGCGTGCAGGCATGGAGTGCCCTCGCTGCCGCTTCGTTTCCCAAGATGCTTCTCCCACCTTCTGCAGCAACTGTGGGCACCCGCTGGCACCTTCCCTCCGCACAGGACCCCCCCCCACGGAGAAAGGTAGGAGACTGGGCAGGGAAGGGGTGTCTGGGGACTGCAGGATCGCTTCCCCCGCTCTGCCCCTGGCCTGGGGCTGCCCAGGTGACCCCTCCCCGTACCTGCCCTTTTGTGTTCAGATAAAACCCCTGGAGTGGGGGGGGTTGCCCTCTTCTTTCCCTTGTGCCGGCGCTGGGGACGACCGCTCCTCTGGCACGGGCAGTGTCCGCGCAGGTAACGCAGAGTTAACTTCCCGCTTCCACTTCCAGCGGGCAGACCTGGGCTTTACGCCTGCTCTCTGGGAACAGGAGACTCCTCCCTAGCTTGCTCCTGCGGCCGTAGGGCCGAGCGCGGGGGCATCCGAGCCCCGAGTCTCCGGGCTGGGGCCTGCATGTGGGACGCCCGCCAAAGGGTTTGGAAGCATCTGAAGCCCCAGGCGGGGGGAAGCGGTTAATTGTTTGCCGGGAGCAGGGTCACACGCGGTTCTTGAATGGCTCCGGGATTGGGAAGTGATTCGACTGGTTTGACTTGTAACCTGAAACATTTCACTTAAAAAGCATGTACTCCAGGCCTGTTGATTTGCTGTACGGAGTAACCTGGAAACCTGCCAGGAGTTGAGAGGGATGTATAGGCACGTCGGGTCTTAAAAAGGTCATGGGGCCCAATCCCAGTGAAGACTCCAGTTGCTTTGGTTTGCTCAAAGTGTGTTTGGACTCGCGCGTCCTCCTGGGTGGGGTTGGTGTAGGTCCAGGTTTTCCCAGACAGGTCCTCCTTTCTGGCCCCCTGTTCTCGTGTCCAGGCAGGTTTTTGAAATGCGAGCAAATGCACAGGTGTTTGCTTTGTCTCTGCTTTCCTGCGCTGGCTGCTTGGGGCTGGGAGCAGGGGAGGGTGACTGGCTGTCCAGCCCCCTGCTCCCAGGTAAGAGACGCAGATGGTTTGTGTGTGCATGTGCATGCACGTGCGCTGCGTGGACGGCACGGCTGGGGGTTGCGGGTCAGGAGTGAGGGGCCTCTGTGTAGAGTGTCCCCACCATGCCGCCACACGCAGGAATGTCGGAGAAAGGTAGGAGCCCCCGGGAGTCACCTGGGTGGGGACAGGGGGACATAGTTGGGACCTGGTGGTGTCTGGTGCCCACCCCCTCCTTCCTCAGCTACTACTTTCTTCTTCCTCCCCCTTCCTTTCTAAGGATGGAGCTAGCCAGAAAGCAGCTGATAGGACACTCTCCCTTTGTGCCGACTTGCACGCTGCGGCTGCCTACTCCGGTTGCTTTTGGCACCTGAGGGCGTCTCTGGGGCTCAGCCGGAGGCAGCTGCAAAGCCATGGAGGGGCAGGGTGTCATGACTTTATTACTGGAGCATCTGGAAAGGCTGCATATATGCTGGGTGTCATGCAGACGGTCTCTTTGGGAGCTGGATGTGTGCCTGTCCTGCTTTCCGTAGGCCCGAGGGGGGGCCCAGAAGGAGGAACCGCGGTGCCCTGCCTTGGTCAGATGTGCAGCAGCAGATGGC